AGGCACCCCTTACTTAAACACCCTTTGTGGCTCCCCACTGCCCCCAGGGTAAATTTACAAAACATCCAGCATGCCCTTAATCTGGGTTTGCCTGAAGGCTGTCTCTAACCACTGCCTCCTGCTGTCCTACCACTCACAGCACGGTGTGGCTGCCAGAGTGTCCAGCTTCAGCAGGCACTCTGCTGGTTCGTGCCTTGGTGCTTTCCAACATGCTGCCCGCTTCCAGGCCTCTAGCTGTCTGTAAACCTTCCTTCACCCACTTGGGCCTAGCTCAGGTCTTTCCCGACTCCATAAACAGACACAGTTGCTGCCTTCCTGCCTGGGTCAGCGCTGTTCTTAGCACGATCTCAGCCCTTATAGTAGTGAACTGAAATTATTTCTTTTTGCTCAAACTCAGTCCAGATAGCAACTAGAAATAGAAAGATGAAGATGAGACTTCAGCAGGGACTGGTGGGAAAGAGGAAGGGCGACTGCCAACCCTCAGCCTGGAAACTTCCATAGGAGCAGAATCATCATCCACAGAATGTTAACTCTAAGGGGATTTTCGAGATCCAGTCACCCAACCCAAATGACAGAGGACAACTACTTGGTCCAAGGTCACACTGCTGCTGAGAGGAAGAGCTGCGACTAGATTCCGAGTAGCTCTGGGAAAAGGTCAGGCAGATGACTCCTCTGCCCCATGATCCTCTTCCCTTCCTACCCAGTCTAACTTCAGAAGTGATGCCCCTTCTATCCTATGGTTCAAGGCGCTGCCTCTTGCACTCGTAGCTCTTAAAGCACTATTGAGATCTTGGTTGGCTGGAGTTGCCAAAGTCTTGCAGATTGGGGGAGATATAATTATTTCCATTTTACAGACAGGAAAACCGAGGTGCCACTGTGTCACATGATTACCTAAAGGCAGAGGCAGGATTTAACACCAAGTAGTGAGGTCTTCCTGTAAAAAGACTGCAAAGCCAAAAATCCCACCCTGCAGAGTCACTGTTTACATTCATCATGACGACTGACCTAATGCCAGGGGAAATTCCCACTCCTACCAGGTTCTTTATATCGAGCCTCTTTGCCCCTTGCACAGGATGTCTGACTTAGGAAAGAACCCTGTACAGCCACCGTCACCCCAACCAGGTCTACTAGGGAGAGCAAGGCGGAGTCATATAACCTTTGCAGGGGAAATCACCCTTCTCTGTGCCTGGCACTTGACAGTATCTTTGCTCAAATCCACCCTGAGGTTAGTACTACCAGTCCCATTCAGGCGTGACGCAACTGAAGGTCCCAGCTAACTCGTGGGAAACCAGTAAGTGGCAGCCCCGGGAGTCGAACCCTGGTCAAGATTCTGGATCCTCCCTCCCCACCCCACCCCACCCCCTTTTCTCTTTGGTCTGGTCTCGCTCTCCCACCTAGCCGGCAGACTACCTAAAGCATTTGACGGGCTGGGTTATCTCAGGGATGCAACTTAACCTCTCTGAACAGTCCCCCCTCACCCCCCAAGGTCAGAAGCTTGGCTTTCCGGGGAGAAAGCGGTTTGCGAACGAAAAGCAAAGCACCGGGCGCCGGCGCAGTTCTTTCTCCGCGCCCGGGGCTTTCTACTGACCAAGTGGGACGGGCAAGCCCCAACCCCGAGGACGGGTGAAACCAAGCTCCCGGCGGGCTAGCAGAAGCGAAACCTCAATGCTCCTCGGCCTCCCCCGCTCGGTTCCGGGAACCCGGGAGCTTGGTTTCATGGAAACGCGCC